GAGGACCTGAATAGACACTTCTCCCAACAAGACATACAAACAGCCAACAGTTATATAAAAAGATGCTCAACTTCACTAGCAATTAGGGAAATACAAATCAAAACCACAATAGATACCACCTCACACCTGTCAGAATGGCTATTATCAACAAGACAAGTAATAACAAGTATTGGAGTGGTTGTAGAGAAAAGGAACCCTTATACACTGCTGGTGGGAATGTAAATTGATGCAATCACTATGGAAAGCAGATTGGAGGTTCCTCAAAAAAAATAAGACTAGAGTTAACATATGACCCAGCAATCCCTCTTCTGGGTATCTACCTGAAATTTTAAAAACATGTTTATTTGTAAATATCTATATCTATCTATCTATCTATCTATCTATCTATCTATCTATCTATCTATCTATCCCTATGTTCACTGCAGCATTATTCACGGTGACAAAGACATGGAAACAACCAGTGTCTTTCAATAGGTGATAGGATAAAGAAGATATGGTACATGCATATACAATGGAATATTACTCAGCCATAAGAAAAGATGAAATGCTGAAATTTGCAACAACATGGATGGATCTTGGGAATATGCTAAGTGAAATAAGTCAGGTGGAAAACATCCAAGAACCATATGATTTCACTCATATATGAAAGCAACAAATGAACAAACAAGACAAAGAAACAAAAACACATAGACACAGACAACAGTATGGTGGTTACCAGGGGGAAAGTGGGGGAGCAGAGGTGGAAAATGGTGAAGGGCATAAAATATATGGTGATGGAAGGAGATTTGACTTTGGGTGGAAAACACATAATGCAATATAAGGATGATGTATTATAGAATTGTACACTTGAAACTTATATAATTTTATTAACCAATGTCATCCCAATAAATTTAATAAAAAACAAAAAAACACAGACACTCTTGCACACACTGCAAATGCCCACACTAGTAAAACTTGAACAGTGAATAGCCCTGTAAGAAAAGCATAGAAAGCATTGGCTGAAATGGGAAGGAGATAAGGTTGGTCATGTTGAATACTTTGGCCCTGGTTCCACACCTAGTTCTATCATCTGTAACTTCAGTGTCATCTTCTCTCCTCTGATGACCTTCATGTCTACTCTTCTCCAACAGCCTGCTCCCATGCTACAATAATGGCCTCCAATTGCTCTTATTACTGTCATTACTTATGTTGTACCTCTAAAATCTTCAACTACAAAAAAATTCCTGACTATAAATTCCCCCTATTCTAGCTCACAACTAACATTCTTACTTCATATAATTCTCATCCTCAACTTCACTTAGATTTCCAGTCCCAGAAATAGTAAATTTTCCCCCAATCTGTTGGCAACTTTCTGTATTTAATTCCTTAAAATATCTAGCCTATATCGTATGGCCCATCATTAATTTCTTTTGTCATTATACTTGAAATTTTTACTCCTTATATTTGATCCTTCATTTCCTTATTCCTTATCACACATTTAGCTTCTCTACTGTGATACCTAGCTACTCTGTGCTCCTGGAATACTCACTCCAAATTTAGACTATAGTTGCTACAATTTCATGGTCTCTAACCTCATTTAGTTCCCCAGAATTTTCCTTCAGTCTTTCAACACTTCCCTACTTAGTTCCCTCTGGATACCACACAAGACCTTAAAATTGAAGATATACACCATGATTTTTAAAGTGATGATTTATTATCTTAAGAATGTTAATCCTTCTGAAATGAATAACTTAAATACCATTTGAATAAGATTCTAACATTTCTATTTAGATTAAATAATTTTAAAGTT